TTAAATCCCAACACTCAGAAAGCTGAGGCAAGAGGGATTGCTGTGAGTTCAAGGTCAGCCTGAACTGCATAGTGAAACACTGTCTCAAAAAGACAGAAAAATTAAAAATTAAAAAAATTTAGAAACAAAATAAAATGTATAACTTCTTTTTTTTTTTTTTTTTTTTTTTGTCTTTTTCCTTTTTATCGGTACCAGGGACCGAACTCACGACCGCCTGCTTGCAAGGCAGGAGCTTATGCCGCTGAGCTAAATCCCCAGCACCTAAAAACGTATAACTTCTATGCTTTAAAAATAAAGAATCAGGGCTGGGGATTTAGCTCAGCAGCATAAGCGCCTGCCTTGCAAGCAGGCAGTCGTGAGTTCGATCCCCGGTACCGATAAAAAGGAAAAAGACAAAAATAAATAAATAAATAAAGAATCAGAAATTGAATTTAAAAAGAAAAAGTCTAGTATTAATGCCTCTCTGGCTAGGCATGGTGGTACATACATTCCCAGCATTTGGAGAAGGATCAAGAGTTTAAGGTCTGGGCTATGTAGCTTGCTCATGGCCGGTTTGAACTGCATGGATCATGTCTCAAAACAAACCAAAGAAAAAGACATCCCTGGGAAGCATCTTTTATATCTTTTGGTAGTAGATGGAGAGTTACAAAAGAAAAATGGCAAAGAAAGATGAGTACTAACTTCAAAAAAAAAAAAAAACAGCAGTGGCTTTGTTGAAATATAATTTGTATGCATTAAATGTCCCTTTTAAATTGTGTGCATATGCACGTGTACATGTTTTGTTGAGGCTAGAACCCAGGGAATCAGGCATACCTGACAACTGCTCCTCTGCTAAGCCACATCTCCCACCCCAAATTCAGCCTTTGAACCTGTATAGCAAAGTGTATAGCAAAATCTAGAACTTGCAGTAATCTCTCTGCTTCAGTCTCCTGAGTGCTACAATCATAGATATGTACCACCACACCTGGCTGCAGGAATACAAGTATTATAAGTGGTACTAGATAGTCAATCTTCATTATTTGTAGATTCTGAATTTGTGAGTTTGTCTACTCGGTAAAGTTTATTTGTAACCCATGCACAGAGCGAAAAGTTTGAGCCATCCAGTATATATGTCCTACCTTTCATGTGTGTGGGGGGGTGGGGTTGAGACAGGGTCTCACTATGCAGATCAGGCTGGCCTTGAGCCTACTTTGTAGTCCAGGCTGGCCTCAAACTCAACAACAGTCCTCCTGCCTCAGCCTCCCAAGTGCTGGTACTACAGGCATGCGCCACCATGCCTGGCTTGCATTGCCTTCTTTTTTGAACTCTCAGACTATTCCTGGGCCTGGCAGCCCATGCCTATAATTCCAGTACTTGAGGAAGGGGGATAGCTGTGAGTTTGTGGGCATCCTGATCTGTGTAAGTGAGTTCAAGGCTGGCCTACACTACATAGTGAGACCCTGTCTCAAAACTTTTCAGAGAAAATTTCTGTTTGGTGGTCTATTTATAATGTCACATTTTTGCGTTCATGTGTTTTTTTGCTGGCAATTTCATTGCTTATAATGCCAAAGTGGAATTTAATGTTCCTAAGCACAGGAGGCTGTGGTTTACCTTACAGAGAAAATGTATATTAGATAATTTTCATTCAGGTTTGAGTTATGTGCTGTTTGCTGTAAGTTCCATATCAATCAGTCATGTGTTATGTTACTTAAACTTTGTTGCTGGGCACTAACAGTTGAACGGGGCTAAGCACACATTCTACCCCTGAGCCACACCCAAGCCCATGTATCTATGAATAGAAACATACACAGAGCAGAATTACATATTGCTTGCTTGGTGAAAATGGTATGACTCAGAGGAACCTGCATTTTTGGGGTTTTTTTTTTTGGTACCGGGGATCGAACTCACAACCTTTTGCTTACCAGGCAGGCACTTAGGCCACTGAGCCAAACTCCCAGCCTAGAACCTGAATTATTTATTTTCGTTTTCTTTTCTTTTCTTTTCTTTTTTTTTTTACTCTACCCTTATATTTCCTAATTTTCGTTTTCTTTTTAAGATAAGGTTTCACTATGCAGTTCAGGCTGGGTTTCGCAGGCTATTCTTAAAGTCGCATTGTATCCCAGGCTGGCCTGGAACTGGCAAGGCTCCTCCTGCCTCAGCCTCCTGGTATTGTAGATGTTTCAGGTGTGGCCTGAATGTCTTCTAGGAGTGGTGGCTTAGTATTTTCTTAACTCAGTGTTTGTGATAACATTGTATGACTATTTTAAATGATGAGAATTAGCTTTTTGTACTCTCCTTGCTGCTTTCAATATTCTTTGTCTTTGGGGCTGGGGATTTAGCTCAGCAGCATAAGCACCTGCCTTGCAAGTGTGTGGTCCTGAGTTTGATCCCTAGTACTGATAGAAAAGAAAAAGACAAAAAAAAATATTCTTGTCTTTGCTTTTAGACATTTTGATTATAGTGTATCCTAAATGTGTATCTTTTAAGAGGTTGGCCTTTTGGAATTTGTTAAGCTTCTTGGATGTATATAGTTTTTCATCTAATTGGGGTTTTTTTTTAGGTATTATTTCTTCAAATATTTTTTTCTTGCATCTCTTCTAGGACCCTAGTACAGGTTATACATGGTGGTATGGTTGATAGTGTCCCACTAGTCCTTTTTTCTTTTTTGGTGGTGTCCCAAAGCTCTTTTATCTGTTTGTCTGTCTTTCTTTCTTTCTTTTCTTTCTTTTTGTACCAGGGATCCCTCAAATTTGCCAGGCGGGTGCTGTCCAGGCTGGCCTTGATCTTGCTGTGAAATCCAGGGTGGTCTCAAACTCACAGTCATCCCCCTGCTTCGCCACCTGAGTGCTGGGGTCACAGGCGTGCACCACCATCACCACACCTGATTCACCACAGGTCTTTGTTTAGGTTTTGTTCTTTTTTTCTTTTCTTTCATTCATTCAGTTGTCCTGTCTTCACGTTCATTGATTCTTGCTCCAATATTGAGCCACTTGATATAGTTTATGTCAATTACTGTGTTTTTTGAACTCTGGAATTTCTGTTTAGTTCTTTTGAAAAGTGATGGCTATCTTTTATTAAAGATGTAAATTTACTGAGACATTGTTCTCATACTTTGCTTAAATTCAAATTTTTGGAGTGCTGGGGATCAAACCTGGAACTAAGGAACCAATCATTAAGGAACATACCCCAGAGCTTTTTTTTTTTTTTTTTTGAGGAGTGGGCATGGCAGGGGCTTAGGAGTGAACCCAGAGCCTTTGTCTCCAGTTGTCTTTTGGTGGGGCAGTGTAGGCTGGAATTTGTAATCCTCCTGCCTCAGCTTCCCACAGTGCTGGAATTATAGGCACATGATTCTCCATGCCTGGCTACCATTTGATTATTTAGTTTCTTTTAGTTTTTGAGCATATTTAAAAAGACCAATATAAAGTGTTTTTCTAGTACGTTTGATGCCTGGGTTTCCTCAGGAACAATTTCTGCTGCCTAGTTTTTTCCCCTGTATATGAGCTTATATTTTCTTACTTCATTGCATATCTTATAATTTTTGTTAAAAACTGGAAATTTTAAATGATACAGTATGGCAAGTCTGGAAATCTGATTCTCCCCTTTCCTCTGGTAAGCTACAAGTCAGGTCAAATACAGAGACTTTTGTAATTGGGGTCTTCCCAGAAACAATCAGATAGACCAAATAGTAATTAATATCCTGGGAATGAAGCTGAAGGAACTGTGCTGGCTTCCTCTAGTGGCTGCCAGCTCCTGGTTTTCAGTGAGAATGCAGGTGTTTGTTTTTTAATGCTGCAGTGGAATTGGAGAACTAGTAATGGGTTTCTAGGTCAAATTAAAATGCTGTAGAACTCATTGTTCTTACCAAGATTCAGCGGTTTTTCTTGCATAAATGCTCCTCCCCAGTTTGCTCAAGCCTTTTAATTTCTAGAGCACTAAAAAATTTGGCTCTGTTTACCAGTTTTCTTATTTCTATGAAGGGGAGAAGTGGTAGGAGGGGCGTCTTATTTTTCCACTTTTGTGACATCATATCTCTCCCCTTTTTATTTTTTATTTTTACTATTTTTTTAGTTTGTTTTAATGAGCTGATTGTTCTCTCTTAAGTAAAATTATAGTTTGGATTAGATTTTAAAACTTGCCAAAGCCTTTCATCTACAGTTCATCTTGATTCTAATGTAGACTACAGAGTAATGTGGTTCTTCTTGAAACAAGTTTCCTTACCTAAGCCTTTGTGTCTCTGTTTGTTTGTTTGTTGTTGTTTTTTTTTTTTGGTTTTTTTTTTTTTTTTTTTTTTTTTTGGTACGAGGATCAAACTCAGGACCTCATCCTTAACAGGCAGGGGCTGAACTACTGAGCTATATCTCTGGCCTCAGGCCTTTCTCCTTTGTTTGCTAGTTAACTTTTTTTTTCTGAAGAATAATACATAGGAAAAGTATACAGGTAATGATAATATGATGAATTATCTCCATATACATAAGCTCAGATAATCATTAACCTGAGTAGTCAGAGATTACTATAGATCTGAAGATCCACCCAGTAACCAGCGGATCATTTTTCAGATGTAACATAGCAAACCTTCGTCTGTTCTAAATAAACATTTTTGAGGTCACTAGTGTAAACCTTCACATACCATAAAATTTATTATTTAATTTCAATACTTTTAATATATTAACAAAGTTGAACAAACATTACCACTATCATGTTCCAGAATATTTTCATCACCCACAAAAAAATCCTGAATTTATTAGCAGTCACTCCCCATTGCTTTCCTCCCCCAGCTTCTGGCCACCACAAATCTGTTTAAATATGCTTTATTTGGAATTTTTGTTTGTTTTTCTTTTTTGTACCAGGGATCGAACTCATGACCTCATACTTGCCAGGCAGGTGCTTATGCCACTAAACTAAATCCCCAGCCACCCATCTGGATCATAAAACATCTGATCTCTCGCTCTCTCCCGTTCCCTCCCTTTCTCTTCACCTCCTCTTTTTTTTCTCCTACCCCCACCTCTTTTTTCCTCCCCAAGGATTGAATCAAGGATCTCACACATGCTAGGCAAGCACTCTACCACTGAGTTACATCTGCATTCTTTTTTATTCTGAGACTGAATGTTGCTGTGTTGTCGAAAATGACCTTGAACTTGGGATCCTTCTGCTTCAGCTTCCTGAGTAGCTGGGTTTGCATGTATGTATATCACACTGTTCTTGTCTATCATACGACCTCTTTATGTTTGACTTACCTTAATGTTTTCAAGCCTTATTCAAATTCTAGCATTTATGGTATTTCCTACCTTGGCTAAATATTTCACTGTTTAGTGTACCACATTTTGTTTATCACTTACCAGTTGGTGAACATTTAAGTTGTTTCTACATTTTGACTGTAAAATAATGCTGATAGGAATTGGTACATCATTAAACAAAGACAGTACTTGTGTCTCAAGGCTGCTAAGATAGGATGGCCAGCCAGCTTGAGGCAAAGGTGTTTTTCACAGGCTGAAGTTTCCATGTGAATAGCCTGCCTTCCTTTATTTCTGTTGAATACTACTTCTGGGCATTAAAATTTATTATGATAGAGCATTTGGGCAAGAATACATATGGACTAACTCTTTGTCATGAGTTTGAAGAAGGAAATTGGGGAACGAATTTGTTACAAATAACTATCTCAGGCTGTCCTCCCAAAGTGCTGGTACTACAGGCACGTGACACTTACTACACTGAGCTTTTTTCTTTTGAGAGAAGATCTCACTGTGTAGTCCAGGCTGCCGTCGAATGCACTATGTAGCCTAGGCTATACTCCATTGCTGTGATCCTCCTGCTTCAGCCCCTGGGTGATGGGATTACAGGTGTGTACCACCATGCTTTGCTTCTCTTCTTTCGAGATAGGGTCTTGTGTAATTGCCAGGGCTGGGCTTGAATTTTAGTTCTTCATGCTTCAGCCTTCCAGAATGCTTTTAAGTATAGGTGTGCTATTATACTGTTGATTTTTTTTTTTTAAGTGTTAACACTTTTCTTAGGCTAGGTGTGATGGTGCATGCCTATAATCCTAGCACTGGGAAGGTCAGTCTGAACTACATAGTGAAACCCTGTCTCAAAAAGACAAACAAGAAAACAAAACGTTGAAAACAACTTTCTTAAACATACAGCCAAAAATAGTGACTATTGACTTGAATTTTCACATGTGTTTGTGTCCTCAGTAGTCTCATCTCTTGCTTTTATAAACTACCTAATTTCCTGTGTTCTTTACACAATCACAACTGCAGAGTGTTATGATAGTTGGCTCCAATATGGCAAAATATGATATACATACAGTATATCATGTATAGGTTTTTTTTACATATAAGGAAAATGGAAAGAAAACCTGTTTGTCAATTGATATTTCTGGGCTGGAGGTGTCAGTTGTAGAGCACTTACTTTGCACTTAAAAGACCTTGGGTTCATCCCCAGCACAGGAGGAAGAAATAAGCAGGCCAAATTATATACAGATATTACATACATTGAAGGTGGGGTTTTTTTTGGTTTTTTTTTTTTGTTTGTTTGTTTGTTTTTTGTTTTTTTTGAGACAGGGTCTTACTGTGTAGTTCAGACAGACCTGGATTCACTATGTAGCTAAGGCTAGCCTCAGCCTCCTGAGTGCTGGAATTATAGGCATGTACCACCACACCTGGACATAGGTTGAAGTTTACTACATACTATATAAAACTTTCAGTAAAATATACTTGAAGCCAGGTGTGGTGGCTCACACTTGGAATTTTAGCACTTTAGGGGACTAAGGCAAGAATATTCCACTTTTGAGTCCAGCCTTGGCAATTTAGCAAGTTAATAAGACCCTGTCTCAGAAAACAAAAAAAGGTCTGGGGATAGAGCTCAGTACAAAGGTTCTGGGTTCAATACTAGTAATGTCCCACTCCCTCCCACATAAAAAGAATATATATATATATAGTTTTCTTTTCATACTATTGTATTTGCGAGAACAGATCAAGCAAATGTTCCAATTTTAGTTCTATAAGAACTTGCACTATTCCTCATTTTTTTTTTTTTTTTTTTTTTTTTTTTTTTTGGTACCAGGAATCAAACTCGGAACCTTGCTCTCATCAGGCTAGTCCTCCCTTATAGGTATTGAGAACTATAGCCAGTAATGTCTAGGTACTGCTATTTGAGCACACCTATTACCAAGGGTTCCACAGATGCTAACCTAGGGTGTGAAAACCAACATACTCTGCCAGGCTTCCACTCTGAACATCTAGAGAGGAAATCAGTAACTAGATGGAGCCTACAAGAATCCTGTCTCCTGACTGCCACCTGCCAACCACTTACCTTTGCAGGTTTTGTGTTTGCACCTAAGTTTAGTCTGGCTGGGTATCCTGAAGAAACCAGAAGCTATCCTGGTTCCAGGCCTGTGCTGGGATTATCCCTTTACTTGGTGAACCATCCATTTAGGACGTGTCAGAATCTGCCCTTATTATAAAGGCCTATCTCAGAACAGTATTTTTGTAATGACTTTCCTCATTACTCTCACTTTGACTACATCTCTCCCTTTTGCAGTCCCTTCAAAGTTTTGTGAGATCTATGTGAATCATCAGTAACCCTCACCATAACATTCGTACACCCAGACCTTTATAGCTACACATTCCAGATACAGTTTCAACCAATTGCAGATCAAAAATGTTTAGCTTTACTTCAGTTGTTTTTTTGTGTGTGTGGTACTGTGGATTAAATCTAGGGCTTTTGCACTAAGTTACATCCCTTGCCCTTTCTTTTTTATTTTGAGACACAGGCTTGCTAAATTGCCTAGGCTGGGCTCAAACTTGTGATCCTCTTGTCTCAACCTGCCAGAGTGCTGAGACTACAGGTGTGTACCACCACATCTAGCAGAAATTTTTGACATTTTTTTTTTTTTGTCTTTTTCTTTTGTATCGGTACCAGGGATCGAACTCATGACCACACACTTGCAAGGCAGGTGCTTCTGCTGCTGAGCTAAATCCCCAGCAGCAGAAATATTTTTTAAAATATTGTATGTATACTAAATATGTAAGGTGTTTTTCTTGTCATTTTTACCTAAGCAATGCAGTATAACTACTTACCATAGCATTACATTGTATTATAAGTAATCTAGAGTGATTTAAAATATACAGGAGGCCAGGCCGGGGATATAGCTCAGTGACATAGCAGCTACTTGGCAAGCACAAGCTGAGTTTGATTCCCCGTACTGGAAAAAAAAAAAAGCATACCGGAGGATGTGCAATGATAAATGCAAACATCATTCCATTTTATATAAGGGACTTGAGTATGCTCAGAGTTTGTGTCTCATATGGTCATGAAACCAGTCCACATGGATATCCAAGGACAGCTGAAATCATTTGATCTTCTTGCAGATTTGCAAGTTCTTTGAGAAGGAAATATAGGAATGCCAAACACTGACCAGTTTATACCGCTTAGCCTCGGCTTTGGAGTGATTAGTGTGGAATCAGATTTTTGTTGCATTATTTTGTACTATCACTTGATGAATTTCCTAAGTCATCATTTTATAGTTCACATTCATTTGTAGCCCACCTATATGTAGGACAGCACTACCAACGTTAATGTTCCAGAATTACTTATTGTCTTACAGCCTTGTTGACTTTTTATTTTTTTCCCTTCACAGGAAATGACTTAGAGGCCTTATAAATATCCATGCATTCTTGCTTCAGACTTTACAATTGAAGGCCAACCCATCGCTTATTAATATTACAAGGAAACTGCTACCTCAGCAAACAAAAGGAAAGGAAGACTTATAATAACGAATGCCATTTTTAAAGAAAACTTGTTTTCAGAAAACATTACAGGAAATTTGGAGATTTTTAGTCATGAGGAGAAGCTTTACAGGTAAATGATTTGACAGGCAGGTTCTGTCAACATTCTACAGAGATTTGATCTTCCTTCTTAAGGACTGTGTGTGGAATAACCCTGTATTGCTTTTTAAACTGCTGTTGAACAGCTTGTGGGTTTTGGGGTTCTAACTTTTTTGGTGTATTAAAGATACATTATATTACATTTTTAAAAGTTATTTTTCTGCCGTTGTAAATACAGGTATCAAAATATTCTTGCAGAGCAACTATAAAGTAAACATTTTTTCAACAAGCATACGTTTTTATTAAGAGAGTGGAATGCTAAACAATTCTTATACAGCATTTTGGACACACTTTCATTTTTTTGTCAGAGATCCTGCCTACACTGAAAATATTAATTCTATAACCTATTGTTCTTTTCACTTCTATGTTTGATCACTTGGTCACCTGCCTCATGGAAATGCGTTTTTTAAAACTTCGATTTGCAGAACTCCATTATTTTTATACCTAGCTACAGTTTTGGAAGAAACGAATCAGAACCCTGACCTGCTCACAGTCCCTGGGACAGGTTCCCCGCATGTATTGCTGCAGTGCCCAGGACAGTAAAATGGACTACAAGCGGCGCTTCCTGCTTGGCGGGTCCAAGCAGAAGGTGCAGCAGCACCAGCAGTACCCGATGCCAGAGCTGGGCCGGGCACTGAATGCTCCCCTAGCATCGACGGCCACCCCCGTCCCACTGGGCAGTTTGACTGCTGCAGGCAGCTGCCACCATGCCATGCCCCACTCCACTCCTATTGCTGACATCCAGCAGGGCATCTCTAAGTACCTGGACGCCCTCAATGTCTTCTGCCGTGCCAGTACTTTCCTCACAGATCTGTTCAGCACTGTATTCAGGAACTCTCACTATTCAAAGGCAGCCATGCAACTCAAAGATGTGCAGGAGCATGTCATGGAAGCAGCCAGCCGGCTAACTTCAGCCATAAAGCCCGAGATTGCCAAGATGCTGATGGAACTTAGTGCTGGGGCAGCAAACTTCACAGATCAGAAGGAATTCAGTCTCCAGGACATTGAGGTAGAGTAACTTCTGTGTCATACTTAGGTAGGGAAATGTATTCCAGAGGTGAGTGAAGGTACCGTTTTAGTTTTTCTCAGATCACTGTACATTAATATTCTTCTCCTGTAAGAAATTTATGCTTAAGGTGGGCATAGTGATGCACATCTGTGATCCCCGCACTGAGGGGCTCAGATAGAAGCGTCACTGTGAGTTGAAGGCCAGCCTGGGCTGCATAGCAAGGCCCAGTCTCAAAGAAAAAAAGAAATCTGTGTTTGCCAAGTTCTGAATGACTTTTATGTCAAACTAAGGAAGTTAAAAGATTATTAAGCTGAAGTAGTGTCATAACTTAATGGTAAACCATGGGCTTAGTATGCACAAGGCCTTGGATTCAATCCCCAGCATCATAATAAAAAGAAATACCAAACAATTGGTTTGTATGTTCCTTAAAATCCTCAAATTAGAAACTAATTTCCAAATAATATACTGTTAAAAAATACTTAGAATTTTAAATGTGATGATAAGTTTTGTGAATTTTCATTACATTGTGTAGAGAATTGGTTGGTAAAAAGTTCCACACATGGTGGTGCAGGCGTGTAATCCCAGCACTTGGAGCCTAAGGCAGGCAGATTCCCTGCATAGTGATACTCTGTCTCAAAAAAAAAAAAAAAAAGCAAAAGCCAGCTTCCATTCATGCTTATAGGATAAATTAGTTCGCCAGTCTCAATTCACAGCTATTCATACTCAGATAAACTTGAGTCTTATCCAATTCTGCATTTCTTGGGAATCTTTGATGGTAAAAATGGAATACTCTCTTTCAGGCCCCTGGATTAAAATGTAAAATGCAAATATATTTCATTCAGAATATGGATGACTTTTTTTTCTACTTCATTTACAAAATGACTTACTAAACTTTGGTCTGTTATGTTGACTTAACTGATACATTTTTAAAATTATTTTTACCAGCTCCAATGGTTAATCTGAGATTGACTTCCGTATGTGCTTGTACATCTATTTTAAGCTCCTAGATGTGAGGTGCTAGAAGGGAGAATGTTCTTTTCCCCATTTTGAGGCTCTAGTCATAGACTTTTGAGGCACATCTGATAACCAAAGTAGCTGAATAAGCTAACTAATACTGCTCTGAGGGTCTTACTGTTTTTGTTTAGTTATCATCATTGTTCTTTGTGGTGCTGGGATTGAATCCAGGGACTAGAGCCAAATGCTATGTTGCTGAGCTACCCCCCAGCCTGCGTTTAAAAAAAAAAAAACAGAATATTAAATAGTATAACTAATTTTTACTGTGTTTAAAAGTGATTTTGAAGCCATTTCCAGAGGAACTTAGTTTTTTGTGTGCTTGTTTTTGCTATACTGGTGATCTGATCCAGAGCCTTCACATTGAACTATGTCTTCAGCTCTTTCTTTTTGTTTAATTCAAGATCTCACGGAGTCACCAAGTTGTCAAGGGGGGACTTAAACTTGTCATCTTCCTGCCTTAGCTTCCCAGAGCCCTGGGATTACAGGCAAGCAGTGCCATGCCCAGTTTAGAATAATTTTTTTCTGTTGTGTTTTGTTTTGGTACCAGGGATCAAGTTCACAATCTCACGTTTGCTAGACAGGTGTTTATGATGCTGAAGTAAATTCCCAGCCCTTTTGTTTTGTTTTCGAGACAGGGTCTTACTGTGTAGCCTATGTAGGTTTACCTCAAACTCACGGTGGTCCTCCTGCCTCAGCCTCCAAAGTGCAGGGATTATAGGTGTGCATTACCACATTTGGCTAGAAAAATTTTTTAAAAGCTATGAAGTCATTGATATAATCAGGGATCATAATATTGTTTTCTGTAGAAATCAGAAAGGAAATTTTAGCAGGCCACATGTGTTTTTTTGTCATATATTCTAACTTGTTCTTTTCCTACGCTTTTTTTTTTTGTCTTTTTCCTTTTTATCAGTACCAAGGATCAAATTCACGACTGCCTGCTTGCAAGGCAGGCGCTTATGCCGCTGAGCTAAATCCCCAGCTCTTTTCCAACTCTTTAAAAAACAGTATACAAACCAGTTTTACCTCATGAACTGGTCTATTCCACAGGATAAATTTGGTCAGTGTAGCTTGCTGCACCTCTAATTTAGATATATAATAACCTGCTTGGGTCATTGTACTTTGTATCACTCTAATAAAGTATGTTTATAATTTCTAGCACTGAACTACATTTCCAGGCTAAGTTATTATTTCTCTATCACATCTTATACCCAGAGAAATTATCATTTAATGTTTTAAAAAGTGGCTTATCATGGTTTTATTTTTAGAATTATACTCATAACTAGGGGTGTAGCTCAGTGGCACAATGCCTTCCTGGAAAGCAGAAGGACCTGAGTTCGATTCCCAGTACCAAAAAGTAACAAATCAGTAAAATTTTACACATAAACCATGCTTGTAATTCAAAAAGAAATTCAGACAATGGAATCTAGTTTGATTTAGTTTGGTTTGAGTTTGTTTTGGTTGAGGCAGGGTCTCACTATGTTGTTCAGTCTGGCCTTCTACTCACTATGTTCCCGACACTGTCCTTAAACTCAGTGATCCTCCTGTCTTACCATGCACCACCATGCTCTGCAAACAATGAAATTTAAAGCTTCTGCTTTTCCCTTCCATTCCATTCTTCCTTCCAAAGTGACCGTTATTAACTGGTTTATGTGTGCCATTCCATATTACTCTGTGTATGTAAACAAATACATATTTGTGTATACTAAGTGCATGGCTTTGACTTGTTTTCTGTAAAAGTCCATGTTGTTGGGCTGAGGATTTAGCTCAGAGGCTCAAGCACTTGCCTAGTAAACACAAGGTCATGAGATCAATCCCTGGCACCAAAAAAAAAACAAAAAACATGTTCACCATTGTGCCTACTCACTACTGAACAGAGGTAGGCAACAGAGCAATAAGAAAAAACTCTGTGCTCTTTTGAGAAGCATGGAACAGTATTACAGCTATCATTCCATCATACCATAGCACTTTCAGCTTGATTTAGGATTTCAGGCAAATCATTTGAAAAACAAGGCCAAAACTTTTTGTGTGAACCAGAGCATTATTGTTATTGAGCTCTTCAGGTTATGCTTCCACAGCTTAGAGGACATAGAGCTGTACATTTGCTCAAAAGAGCAAATGCCCTCATTCTCCAGGTCAGGATGGTTATAGAGGATGAACCAACCATAGAATATGGAGCCCTAGTGAGCCATGGAAATATGTTGGTATCTACCTTCTTTTTTTCCCGTGTCCAACAGAGACCACTTGAGCTGAGAAAGGGGGAAATATTTCTTATTGTAGCTTAGAATTTTGACTTGGCTTTCCCCACTGAAATGCAGATTTTGATAATTGGAATACTGCCATGGTTTTTGTATATAATGGACTTCACAGGCTTTCTAAGGCTAGTCTGGAAACTAGAAGTTTTAGAATATTGGGTCTATTCTAAGTTTCAAACATCTGCTTTATAAGTCAATTTTAAAATATGACTGCTGACTGTAGGACTACAGGCTTAACAGTTTGCTTTTTCCCTTGAGGAGTTATTTGTTGTCTTTGGATTTTGTGTACTGCCAGGAGATTTAACTATAGGCCAATAAGGGTCTCTCTTCTTAGAATGTCCATCAACTCAGATGACATAGCTAGGCTTTTGGACATTTTCTCTGTTTTTGTTTTATAAGTTTTATAAACAAAAGTTTTATGAGAAAGCTCTTTTAATATTCCTATCTGGGGAAAGAAGTTTTGTAGCCTAATATTCCTGAACTTGATGGGCTAGACAAGGCCTATTGCTGTTGTTTGGATGTGTTTTGTTCCAGCAAGTCTTCTGCTGACCATGTGTGGCCATGACGAAAGATAGTGCGTTCTTTAGGCCAGTAAAAGGGATTAATGTATTTCTTGTGTAAGTTCTTGCTCTAGTAGGACTAAGTAGCTCTCAAGAGTGAGCTTATCTTTATCTTTAGTCTTTTTTGTACTTACCTGCTTCTTGTTGTTTTTTTAACAGCAATATTTTTTTGATACATGAATCTGTTACATTATGTAGGAAATAAAACAAGTCCTAACCCATAAATATCCATTATTTACCTTTATCAGAGTTATTTCTTTAGACAGTTTTGAATTCCTGCCTAATATTCTTTTATGTCAACCTGAAGGACCCCCTTTATGCAGGATGGGTCTAATAGTAGGAAAATAAATCTCTCATTACTCGGATCTGGGAATGTCTGAATTTCTCTCTCCCTTTTGAAGGACAGTTTTGCTGAATATATAATTCTTAGTTTAGAGGGTTGTTTTGTTTTGTTTTGCTTTGCTTTTTCATTCAACACTGTACATCTCAACCTGTTTCCTTCTGACATCCAAGGTTTTTGATGAGAAATCTAGTGATTATTACTGGGAGAAAGTATAATAATAGGTACCTTCTTAACTGCTTCATAGATATTAATATGCCCTATTGCATTTTTATAAACAGAACATTACATTATTATAATACAATGAAATTGTAGCAGTATTTTGAGATCACTAAGAATTTAGAGAGACATACTTGGTGGCACATACCTATAATCCCAGCACTTGAGAGGCTTAGGCAAGAGGATTGCTGCAAATTTTAAGGCCAGCGTGGGTACCTAATGAGTTCAAGACCAGCCTGGACTACACGGTAAGACCCTATTTCAAAAAAAAAAAATAATAAGGGGCTGGAGGTTTAGCTCAGCGGCATAAGCGCCTGCCTTGCAAGCAGGCAGTCATGAGTTCGATCCCCGGTACCGATAAAAAGGAAAAAGACAAAAAAAAAAAATAAGAGCCCAGACATGATGGAGCACAACTGTAATCCCTGCACTTGGGAGGCTGAAGTAAGAGAATTACTATGAGTTTGAGGCCAGCATGAACTACATAGTGGGACCCTGTCTCAAAAAAAAAAAAACTTAAAGGGAAATTGAATTAGATATGTTGAATGTAAACATCGTGAAATTTCAAAAAACAAAAGGTATTATAGATTCTCAAACTGGAAAAGGACTTTGAAGAAT